AAGAATCTGCCCGCCAATGCAGGGGACATGGGTTCAAGCCCTGGTCCGGGAAGACCCCACATGCCACGGAGCAACTAAGCCCGTTGCACCACAACTACCAAGCCTGCGCTCTAGAGCTCGCGAGCCACAACTACTGAAGCCCGCGCGCCTAGAGCCCGTGCTCCTCAATAAGAGAAGCCAACGCAACGAGAAGCCCAGACATCTCGACGAAGAGTAGCCCCTGCTCGCCACACCTAGAGAAAGCCTGCACGCAGCAATGAAGACCCAACGTGGCCAAAAATAAATTAATTAATTAATCAATTAAAAAAATACACATATATATAGAAAAAAGAAAGACACCTGCCCTGGCCCTGTGGCGTAGAGGGTGCCTCTGACCCTCCTCTGGCCATATCTCCCACCCCATTGCAAGGAGTCTGTGAGACTGAAAGCCATATACCCCTTCTTCTAGACCATGTTCCAGGCATTCACGATCCTGGAATCCCTCTACTCAGATGTCCCTGAGCCCACATCCAGGGTCTGATACCCACGGTCAGAACAGGGCTCCAGCACATCTCCCAAGGCCTACAGGGTGGTCAAGGGACAGCTGCTTGTGGGAAGGGGGGTAGATGGAGCTTGGGCTGCATGTGGATGGAAGGTAATATACCTTGTGCTGCCATGTTCCAACATGGAACTCCAAGGAGCCCCAGAATCCTAAAATTAAGCTCCAACTTCCAAGGTGTTTTGAAGCTGAACTCTCTTATTTAACCACTTATCAGATTGATTTCAAAACCTTTAAATTTTTGACCTATGGGAGGTGGGCCTTCACTGGACCTGGAACTCTTGATGCGGGGTGGGCCATCTGTGGTCTGGACCATCTCTTGTGTCCTCTGGTTCATAGATTTTGTCATCCCCCACCGGCTGCCAGGTCAGCCAGCGGAGTGCACACCTTGAGCACCTGGGGCTTGGAGCAGGGGTTTCATGCCTCCATAAGCACTCTTGGAAAGTTACAAGGGCTCATTTGCATACTAGCTCCTCCCACGAGGCTGCTGGGAAAGCGCTTAGCGGTTCTCTATTACCAATTACCACGTCGCCTTGTTTCCTCACTAAAAACACTTGGTGCGTTTGCAAAGTTGAGTGGCTCTGCGCACACAAATGCCTGATCCACTGACAGCAATTTTCAAAATTGCAGGTCTTGCTGTTGATGGAAAAATGGGAGCCTTAGTTGTTATTCCTTGTGTGTAATTTTCACCAAGAAATGGGGGTGTGGGTTTAATGTCAACACCTAGAGATTTAATGTGGCCCTGTTACTGGAAATCTATACCTTTAGCCAACTCCTGCCTCACCACAATGTCTGTATTGTTTTGCAACCTCACCCCCACCCCTATTTCCCATTCCTGAGAAAAGATGGGGTTTTAGCCAAGATTCAGCTCAGAAGGGGCCTGGCCCCCGCTTGCTTTCTGCATCCTGTGAGCACAGACTGTTCAGTACTGGGCCTGCTTGGATCCAGGGAAGCCATACGAGGCCATTTCTCAACTCACTTGGGTGGGGGGGAGTGGGGAGAGGGGAAAAGAGAAAGAGGGTGGGGTTATGGGGTTATGTTCTTAGCTCCAGTCTCCTGCCCAGCAGGGAGCAGGTCCTTTCCAAGCATTAGGTCGCAATGGGGCACCCCCCGCACTTTGCCCTCACCACCCCAGAAAGGCTCCATGGCATGTGTTTCAAATTAAAGGAAATTCAATTTGATGCTATTTTGAAAACGCACAGAGAATGTCAGAGCCCCCTTTGAGGTGGATGATTGGTGATACTCCATGGGGCTCACAGAAGCCAAGGTGGTTGATCTTGGGAACTAGGAGGAAAACCAAGACTTATTGGAAAAGTAACTTTTGGCCACACGTGTTTCCTCTAGTTATTAGCAATCTGTCCCCCAAATCCTGTTCAGTAGTGCTAATGAATTAAGCATATGCTTTTAACTTTTTCCCACTGAATTGCCTGGCAGTGTCCTCCCATCCCTGGAGAGCAATGGTTTGGATGGACACGAGCATCAGAAACAGATGTAAACATTTATTGTTTCAAATGACACCATCACCCTCATCCCAGCTCCAACCATAAATGAAATGGGTAAACAGTTTCATAAGAAGACTTTTCCCAAGGTCAGTTCTGTCCTCGGCTGAATCTCACAGGGCACAGAGGGTTCCTCTGACGTTTGTGGCTTTGAGGAAGCCGTGTTCAGGGGCCAGGATATGTCTCTAATGGCCGTAATTGGATTTGTCCTATTCCAGTTAGTACAGACTATAAACATGATGTGCGCACAGAAGAAATTCGGTGGCCAGCAGGGCGGGAGCCAGGGCCGGCCTTGGGCTGTGGGTTTGGAAGGCGTCTTACTGGTCTGGATGGCCAGGCTCAGGTGCCACTGGCTCAAGCATGAAAGCTGGGACCAGCGTTCGGGGCAGCGGGAATGTCCATGTCAGGGGTTTGAGTGCTGGAAGGAAAACCAGAACTGCCCTGGAAGGACCCAGGCTGGGAGGTGTGCTGGCCACGGTTGGGTCTTGAAAAGATTTTAAACGCATCCACCCGGCGTCTGCTTGCTCCCTCCGCAAGAGGGCTGGCTGCTGGGAGGATGTAGGGAGGCCATTGTCCATCTCCCCCAGGGCCTCCCCATCTTTCCATCTCAGCTGCCCCAGCCCACTGCCTGGGGAGTACGGGGTAGCGGGGATGACGGATTCACTCCAGAGTCTTCCCAAGGCCCAAGGTGCAGGGGGGCGGTGTGGACACCAGTTCCTGGGACAGGACTGCACCACCTGCCTCATTCATACCCAGGCCCATCATCTCGGACGCTCTCACCAGCTCCATGAGCACAGAGGCTGGGGCGGTTCGTCCAGACGTGGCCCTGACCTTTCTCTGCCCTTTGCAGACGGACTGTGCCCTATGGGCTGTCCAACTACAGAGGCAGCTTCCGGGGCAGGAGGTCGGCCGGGACATTTCCGCGGAGCTCACAGCCGTCGAAGGGGACGCCGCGCTGCGCCTGTGCGGAGAGCGAGGACGCCGCCTGCGTGCATTTCTGCACCTGGACCCCGGCTGCCCGCGGGTATGAGCCTCCTCCCTGGCTTTCTGCATTTCCAGAGATCGGTTGCCCTGGGCCATGTGGGTGCAGCAGGGCTCTGCCTGTTCCGCCCGATGCGGTCCTGCGGGCGGGGGTGGGGGCGCGGGCTGCGCGCAGAGGGTGCAGCAGCCCCATCCCTTCACTGCCTTTCAAAACAAGGCCTGTAACGTGGCCACGGCCATGTCTGGTCTCCAGACGTATTTCTTCTGGACTGCACAGCAATTTGCCAAAATTTGAATAAGTTGCCAACACTTTAAAATTGCAGAATCACCCCCTTCCTCAACAAATGCATATTTTAAGCTTCTCCAAAAGTAGCAAATGGGACCATCTGGTCTCACCAGCCCACATCCCCTCTTGGCCAGATAGGCTGGAACCAAATGAGGGCCACTCAGGTTCGAGGGGGCCATGCAATGTCCATTCACCTGTGTCACTCATCATCTTACTTGGTGGCCCCCCAGGCCCCCGAGTTTGAGACCCTCTAGTCTGCTCTAACTGCTGGAGAGAAGCTTGTGAGTCAATGTGGACTTGAATAAACAAGCAGACCCTAGGTTCGACCCGTGTAGCCACTTAAGCTGGTTTTTACTACTCATGCCCCTTGCTCCTCCTTTTCTTTACTTTGGGCCAAGACCCATCAACCCCGCCAGGCAGAGCTGCCTTGTAAAGCCTCTTCCAAGAGCCATTGCTGGTGGGATGGGACCTCCAGGTGCTTCCTGAGCAAGTGAAACGCACAAGCAGGGGGGCTTTCTATGCGGCAGGTGCTGTGGTAGCCAGGGGCCCAGGATCTGCTGTCCAGAAACCCCAGCACCAACCACATTTTTCTTCCTGGCTCCTTAACATCTGATGAATAACTGAGTAGTGTGGGTGGAGGCTGGACTCTGGTAGGAATCCACCCACCATGTGCTCAGCCTTCAGAAACTGTGCCTGAGATGCGGACCTGGGGGACCGCGCTCATGTTAGTGGGAAGAGGAAATCATTCCTAGCTGGATGCTGAAGACCCAGCCATGTGGAAATGTGGGTTGATTCATTCAAACCAGCCCCCTCTCCCCACAGGAATTCAAGGACGGCACAAACACCCGACAAAGAAGCAGGAAAGCAGGCCAGCGGTGCTGCCGGGGGCGTGCGTCCAAGGAGGTGAAGCTGCTTTCTGAGCTGCTGCCATATGGGGGGGCACAGAGGACGTGTGGGGCGCATCTGGTCTGTGCGGGCCGCCAGCGGGACACGGCGTGTGGTGGGCATCCACGGGCAATGGTGCTTTTGGTAGATCACCCCTGGGGACAGAACAGCCTAAAGCTGTGGACAGCCTGCCCTGCGTCTTAGGAGCTGAGTCCTGAGGTCCCTGTAGCTTTTGAGCAGTGATGTCCAGCCCTGGATTTCACCAGGTCTGGACAAATCTCACCGATCACTGCTTCCCAGAGCCCCTGCAGGCTCATCTATCGGTGCCCATGTTGCCCCTCTGCTCCCATAGCAACTGGTGGTCTCTACAAAAAGAATCATTTCTTCTTTTCAGCAGCTGATTCTGGACAGAGGTGAATTACAGCAGCTGGGCACCAGGCCCTCCGAGTCCTCCAGTTCATTTTAGGAATTTTTTTCTTTAACCCACTTGTCTTTTTGTATGATCCTGAGGGTTTCCTGCAGCCCAGCTGTCATTCAGTCAATCAGAAATCATTATTACTGGGTCGCCTACACATCTGCAATGGGATGGTAATTGATGTTCACAGTAATGGCCTGGCGGGGGGCTTGGGGTCCTACAGGGTCTGATCAAGGGAGGACTAAACCCTGTTTAGTGTCCAGGAGGCTTTCCAAATTGGTGGCACATTGCTTTGAGTCGTCTGGAGAGGGTTCTGTCAGCATCCACAACAAAAATGCAGAGGAGAGGCAGAGACAGACCCCAGGAGAGCATGAGTTAGGCCCCAGCGGGGCCCCCACTTTGCCTCTTCCTCTTCCTCACCCCAAAACCAAACCCTTCTCAGCAAGGGAGGGACGTGATTAAAACCACCATCCATCGTGGCATTTATTCAATTCAGCAAAGATTTGTTGAGCACCTGTGATGTGCAGGGCGCCGTCCTAGATGCTGGGGACACCACAGGGAATAAGGCAGAAGGTCAGCCTTCCCGGCACTTAAATAGTGGGGGAAAAAGATAGCAAACCAATACATTAAACACGGAGTGGGGCATGTGAAGGAGACCAGGAAGCAGGCTGGGGGCAGGAAGTGTTGGGGCTGGTTGCACTTTGGGTGGACAGGGGTGGTCTCACTGGCCAGGTGACACTGGCATAAAGAACTGGAGGAAGTGGGGAGGGGTGAGCCAGAGGGAGGAGAAAGGGAAGGGGATGTCAGGCAGCAGAAGGGTAAGTGCAAAGGCCCTGTGGTAGGAATGTGCTGTGCTGGGTGTGTTCTAGGAAGGCAGCAGAGGCCAGCACAGAAAAAGCACTGGTTGCTTTTGCTGTTGGTGTTATCATTCTGTTGGATGTTCGGGAGATGAGAACGGTGGCACAGATGTCCCACGGGGGCCTGGAAAGGTGCTTCTTCTAGGTCTTTACGATGCATGTCAAGCTCCTGTAAGACGCTTTATTTGGGAAGAAAAAGTCTTTCCTTATAAGCCCGGTCCCTACTTTCTTGCAAGACTCAAGTTAGTAATCTCCAGATTGACATTCTCAGAGTGGAAGCTGCTGCCATCCTGAGCGCATGGTCATCAATGATGGGACCAGACCGTGGGAGACAGAACTCGCCGTGGCCACGTCAGCAGTGATGATTGTATTCACACCTTCCCAGACGGATGGCAGGCTCTGAAATTGCCTAGAAGCTCTGGCGAGGAGGTTCCGTTCAAAACAGGGAACAGGCTAGAGATAGGCTGGGGAGACGTCTCCTCTTTTCAGCCAGCAGAGAGCTCTTCTTTTGAAACAGGTCTCTCTTTTTTTCTTTTGCCCCCCTTTTCCGAGATAGGTTAAAAGTCAAGGCCAGACAAAGCGAGTAGGCTTTAGACCTCCACCATCAAATGCTTGCCCCGTCAGTGGACCTCCCCACCTCCCGGGCTCTGCCTGCCCTTTCAGGAGCCCCCTGGGAGAGGGGTCCTGCAGCAGGAAGCCCTCAGTTATGGCTCCTGCTGGGTTCACATTTCCACCTCTTTGAGGACAAGAAACGAGTTTTGCCTGGGGGAGAAAACCCACTCAAAGGGTCCTCACTTAACAATACAGCCCTTCCCCAAGAATGCCCCATCCAAAGACCCCAGTTTCCCTAATGGGTAAAACGATCCCAGCTGTGCCCTGGGGCCCGACGCCCAGGGCTCCGGTTTCATGCAGGAAATTGTTTGTGGAGAGGTATGGCACGTTGCAAAGCCACTTCTCTTGGAGAATAAGTGGACTTCAAGCTAACTCTTTGCAAATGTAAACCCTTGCCCATGTTGGAACAGATGCAGGCCCTGGCAGGAGCATGCCGACGTCTGAGCCCTCACATGGGGCAGGCATGGGGTGTGAGCCACTGAGGTCGCCGGGCGTCAACTTGAGACGCAGATCACAGCTGTACAGGTTTGATGAGTTTGAGGCTTAGAGGATTTAGACAGGCATTTTCAGCTGTGCTTGGTGCCACTAAAAGAATGTATCTCCAAAAAATTAAATAAATAAAAGAAAGAAGAAAGAAAGAAGAAACCTTGATGTTTGTGATAAGAGAAGGAGGAAATTAACACCTGCGTGTTTTGAACCCCCTGGCTTGCAGCAGAGAGACTTCTCTGCCCTTCACAGGCAGATGATGAACAATAGACCCAGTTGCCTGGAAGCCACTGTAAAGGCACAAGGCTCAAGGCTATTAAGGTGATATTTGTTTTCAGGAAGAAATGTGGATCTTCGGGGGAATGGCTTCAAAATAAGCTGCAAACACAAACGCTTTGTAAGTTATGTAAATCTCTATCTATGTAATTGGCAACAACTGGGAATTGTAACACCTGACAGTTCGCAATCTCTTTCAGCTGTGCTCTAGCGGCCACACTGGGATTGCTGAGCGTCTGAAGCTGATGCAGTGTTTAGTCATCCACGGGGATGGGGAGAGGCCGCCCTCTCCCCCGACGGCAGAGAGATAAGAGCCGGCATTTTGAGTGCCTGCCGAGGTCCTGATGTGATGGTGGATGCCGGGGTGCTAGCCTTGACCAAATGCTAAATTTTCGATGAGTATATCCTAAGCGTTACAGGTATAAAAGTGAGTGTCCCAAGGAAATGGAAGGGACTGATTTGCCAGCAGGATGGGGTACAGTTTAGAGAAGCGATTATTTATTGTGAAACTGTTCTCTGTGTCAACTCTTTTTGGCGGATGTGTTCAACGCAAAGCCTCTGTACATAGAGAGATGTTCACTTGTGTTCTGAGTCCCACTCATAGTCCTTAGGGCTTGAATCACATTTTTTAAACACCTGTGCACTGTTTGTCTCTGTGGCAAGACGATATCTCAGAGAGAAATTTATTCATTGTGCTACCACAGAAAATACTGTCAAATGCATAATAAAAAAAAAATCTCAAAGTTTGCTCTGATGTGGGTTATTCTCGCTGGTGTGATATGCATGGTTACACGTCAGTTTTCCGTGGGCCTCTGGAGAGGACAGAAAAGAGTTATGGTTCCGGAAGTAGATTCATCTAAAGTCAATTGTGGAGCAAAAGATGGGTGAGGGGGCTGCTTGGATTTTAAGGAAGGAGCGGGATCTGGAGACCATCCAAGGAAGATAGAACATTCGGGGTGGTTGGGAAGAGATAAATCTGGGGAGAGTGTTGGCTCCTTCCCCCGGCACCATCCTGGTCACCTTCGTAGCGATGCATAGCTTTGTCTTCTGTCCCCAGAGGCACAGACACGTGCTGGGCAGGATTCCAGCGAGAGGACGGTCATAGCCAACAGCCAACAGTGGACCTTTGCAGCCTTTCCGATGGGCTCCCTCTCTCTCTCCCTCCCTCCCTTTTGAGTCAAGAATTGGAGACCATCAGAGGCAGGGAATTGGACAAAGAGACCCAGCCTAAAAGCCAAGAGAAATCCAGTATTCTGGGTGGGTTTGATCACATCTAATCGGAGAAGGCCCAAGAGACTCTTGTTTTAATTAAACACATTTTAGAGAATTTTGACTTTGATGAACTGATAGACTTGGGTACTGATTTATCCTGTAGGATGTGAAGCCGCACAGGAGGAGCTGCCAGTGTGCATGGGGGGTACTCCTCCTGGACTCTCAGCCCTTTTAGCTGCTGCAGATCTAGAGAGAAGGAGGAGGGCCGAGGAGTCCCAGGAGCTGGGAGAGCAAAAGCCCCAGTGTGGCGGGCGTTTCTGGCATCTGGGCGGAGGAACAGAAGGGGAGCCCATGGAACTGTGGGTAGGATGGGCTACGGGGTTTACAGGGCCCCGTGCAAAATGCAAATGCAGGACTCCTGGTGAAACCGTGGGTCATCATTAATTGAATCCATTACACCTGTAACCTGCTTTCACCATCAAGGTCGTTTTAATTGTTGCTACAAAAAACGTGCTTGTCCTCCAAGGGGCAGGTAGCCTAAAGAATAAGAGATTTGTCCAAGTTGTTTGCCAAGAACTTGGAGTCAGCTGTGTCTAGTTCAAGCTGAGCCAGTTAAGACTGGATAAGACCACCAACCCTCCAACTGGGCATGTGTGAGCGTCTGCTCGGTGACCTTTGACGTCAGAGGGCTCAAGTCTCCACCCTCCGATTATGCTAAGCACCTCCATGTTTTAACGTGCAGAGGCCTGGAGCTTGGTTACATCTGTGCAGACTGACAAGTACCTTCTTCCAACCACCTTCTCCACACTGCTCACGCCCCCCACGCCTCAGACCACCCTGCTTCGTCGTCCCCAAATACCCCAAGCCCCTTGCCTTCAAGAGGGGCATCCGGGATTTGGTGTCCCATCTCCTCGCTTGGCTGCCACGTGAGTAAACCCTTTCCTTGCTGCAAACCTTGGAGTCTTAGCATTTTCACTTGTGCGTCGGGTAAAATGAACCTGGTTGGGTAACGCTGGGTCAAAATTATTGAGAATTTCAAGACGGCAACAGTAGAACCAAGCTAGGGGCCTTTCTAGGCACGGGGCCTATCACCTGCCCAGTCTGCAGGCCGGGGAAGCCCAGTGGAAGGGGCTGTTCGGTCTGGAGACCTGGCTTTGCCACCAAATCCCCGAGGGGAACCAACCTTAAACTGAGCCTCACTTTCCTCGTTTATAAATGGATGTGGTCACTGGCCCCTGCCTTCCGCACAGCCTTATTGAGAGGCCAAGTGGAAAGAAGCAAGTATATAGACAACTTTTTAAATCCTAAACTCACACAAGGCAAAGATACAGTCTTCAAAGTTTGCCCTGAACTAGTCCCGAGTTCCTATTTTTACTTAGAAGTTTCTCACGGAAGCACATCTGTGAATGTTCCTCAGAGTAATAGAATTTGACTTATAGAAATTGTCAGCATAATCAATTACCCCCATCCCCACCCCTGGAAGACATGTATTCTCAAAATCCCCAAATCCTTTTATATGAATTCTTAAGTATCTCGAAGCTTTGGTAAATCAAGCTACCTGTTATTCACACCATTATAAATCCACTTGGGTCCTTCCGTCACCTGAATATGTGATTTCTTGTCTCTTTGCTGGCAGGAAGGCTCAGAATTGTTGACATCTGAGTGGTTAATTTAGTGCAGGGAAATTGTAAGAATTAATAACAGTGGGGGGCCAGAGTGAATAAACGTGAGCACCCTTCTGCCAGGCGTGTCTCATTAATCCTTCCAGCATTCCGGAATGAGGCGCTGAGTAAATGACAAGAGGTGGGCGAGAAACGGAAGAGGCAGAGGGATCAAGAATTCGTGACAGAGGGGAAGAATCCCATGGGACCGGGGCGGGGAGGCGGGGTTCGTCTATGGAACACGAGCCTGTTGCCCCCCCCCTTCCTTCCTCCCTTCTCCTCTCCCCTCTTTGTTTGAACAGACTTCCATCATGGAGCTGCTCTGTATCAATTCCTGTTTATCTACACGGTTGGCAAGAACCACCAGGGTCCAGTCTGGCCAGTATTGGCTCCCCGCACAGCACCATCTACGGGGGTGGGATGCGGGGTGTTGCACCATCTGCAGAAAAGTCGGATCTT